ATTTGACTTATGAGCTAACTGTAGAAATCGTGATAAATCAAATTCATAGTTGTCAGACTTATAATTTTCACCAACAACATACCTCCTACTAAAGATTTATCTAAACACAAAGGTAATCCAATTTTTATGTATTGAAATCTTTTATGTTCCGTTGAACATGTTTAAGTAAATACCAAAAGACGAAAACATGAAAATATTGAGCCTCCATTTGACAAATTTATAAATGATTTACAAATACAAATAGTAAAAAGAAATAGTAAAAAATTCCACTGACATGTGTGAATAGTAATAAATAATCATATATTTATAATTAATATTAATGCATGATTTTAATAGAAATTATAAATCAATTTATAACTTTTATTCAATGGTGAAAAGTGTAGATTGACAAGAAGTTTGCTTAAACGAAAGAGTGCCTAATACTAGTTTATTCATTCAGCAATCTTGTAACGAAGATAAAGGGGATAAACGATTTAAAATAAAAATGAATTTAATCCGAGATAGTAAATTTTCAACTTTAACAATAATGTACAAGCTCCTCAATGAAGGCCTTCAAGTTCTTGGTGGAAGAACCATCCTCCTGCATAGCTTCTCTTGCAGAATTCTTCCATTTCTTAGCATTCTCTTTCAGTTCTCGACTTTTTTCTCCATCATCCATTATCGTTTCAATGCACCTCGTAATCTCGTCGCTCTCAACGATGCCATCTTCTCTTGGGTTCACCCTTAGGCCTGTCCTCCACTCATCTTGTATCAGCTTTGCAGTAGTCCCTTGATCAGCCCACTGTGGAAACGCCACCACGGGAACACCACATGCTATACACTCCAAAGTCGAATTCCATCCACAATGAGTCACGAAACAACCCAACGAAGGGTGTGTTAGGACCTCAAGCTGAGAACACCATGGTACTATATTTCCCAGTTTTTCCAATTCTTCCAGACAATTTGGTTTATTGTCGTCTTTTTCTTCTTCTGGGTTTTCGTTTACTCGTATGACCCACAAAAAGGGTCGTCCACACTCGATTAATCCTCTAGCAATCTCCTCCATTTGAACTTTTGGGAGCCTTCGAAGAGTCCCAAATGACACATAAACCACAGATGATTCAGGCTTGGAGTTCAACCACTGCAAATAATCCTCCGATTTATTGAAAAGATCGCCACCAACGGCCTTATCCGATGGATCTTTACCATCCAAGAAAGCAGAAGGAATTAATGGTCCAATCCCGATTAACTCATAATCTTCAATCGCTTTAAGTGCATCAGCCTCTAGCGCGTCAAACGTATTCACGAGAACATTTGGCTTTGTTTCTGCATCTAACATTTCTAGATGCTCTTTACATGTTGAAATTGCAAAGACTTTGTGATCGCTACTCGGGGGAAGCACAAAGGAGGGAAGATCGCGTTTAGCTAGCAATGGAAGTCTAGGCAGCTGGATTGTCCAGGAGGGATCGTCGGAGGCATTATTGATTTCTTCACCATAGCCATTGAAATAATAGTAGTATATATCCAATACAGTGGTGGGTTGAATCCAAAGAAGAGCACTCGGGATGTGCAATTCAAATGCCACGGCTGCAGCCCATGGAAGCAGTAGACTATAAACTAGGCACGTAACTGGGCGACCTTGCTCGGCACTGGCAAGAACCGTTTTCCTTATGGTGTTTGAACTGCTGTTCCTAATCACAGTCATGTATTGATTATGATCATCACTTGGTTTACACCCGTCATCATGTCCAACGGAGAATGCCGCAAAAGTAAGTAATGGACTGGTGTAGCCGGCAGCTTTAGCTATCCGCCGCTGGGCATATAAACTTGTTGAGAAGGTGACTTCAATTCCATTCCTGATAAGGGTCTTGGCAAATGTAAGTAATGGATTGATGTGTCCCTGTGCAGGAAAAGCTACCAGAAGTACATGAGGGCGAACCATTTTCTTGTAAACAAACAAAAATTGTGTGCGCGAGCGCGATAATGATAAAAATGTAATGCAGTAGAAAACTGGTGCTTCTGTGAACTAGAAATGAGTAGATAAAATGGGGGCTTTGGGACTGTTTTTATAGTAAGAGGGCAATGCCTGACGTTTGAGGAAGCATGGTGACAGCACCGCTGCATGGAAAGTTTATGACACGTAGTGTGTCGAACTAAGAAGTCTGCCATTTGTCTCTCTCTGTCTCTATCTCTATCTCTATCTCTCCTCGTAAAGTTGCCGACGAGACTCATGTACGTGTGGATATGTACACAAATAATAATTAATTGAAAGCGTGGAAAACCAGGAAAAAAAATCCTATCTTTTCTTGTTTTGATATTTCCCAGATGCTACCTTTCGTCACAAAACAAGAAGAAAGGAAAAAAAAAAGGGTAAAACGGATAGAAGAAAAGAATGGAACTGAAAGTGAAGAACAGAATATAAAAGGTAGAGATTCACACACTTTAGTTGATAGTAACGTTTAACAGATACATAATCACGTATAATCACATCATGTTGGAAAGCAGTGCTATTTTGGCACCATTGTGAGATAGAACATCGAAATTTTATATTTACTTGATCAATATTATGCTTGCATGAATGAGAAATTGAAGTGCAAAATATACCTTAAAAATGATTTTGTGTTTTGAGGGAAAGCAATTGTAGCTTATTCCACGTAGTTTTCTTGTCTAATACTTTCTCCTTCAATCCTCAATCCTGCGCAAGATATCATGTAACCTTGTTCGTTTCTGATTAAAATCAGATTTTAATCTAAATCAAAGTCAAACAATCAATATTAACCACATATTTCATGAGTCCCACAGTTTTTCAACCACACATTTCAAAAATTTCTCACACGATTTACTAAAAATCCAATTTTAATC